GCGGGATAATGGTACCACTCCAGTTGCACCACCTATTCCATCAATCTCGGATACTATCATGGAAACAGTAAACCTTCATAGCCACTAGTCGGATTAGGTCCCAAGAACCAGTTCCTTCTTGAAGTGAGGAAGAGGGGTCCCATTCTCAGGAGGCGCGATACTGTCGCGTCTCAAAATGCGAGACAACGGCGCTAAGGCCTTGTGCTGCCCTGCTGCCATCCTTATCAATCGCGGCATACGTGGCGTCTGCGCCCTCTCGCGTTTAACGTACTCTCTCGCGTTTTCCCTCTCCTCGCAGCGCTGTGTCTCTCCGTCATACCACGGCTCGGCTTCACTGGGAAATTTCAGTGTTTCAAATGGCGCCTTTACTTTTTCTCCTAATGTTCTTCATTGCACTTCTTGCCTAATTTTTGAAGCAAAATAACACACAATTCGATCCTCGGGCTTTTGCCTTCAATTCAACATACTTCAGTTTTTAGCTGCTATGAAATTTATTGGCCAAAAACTACTACTGATAGTGATCAATAGACATGAAAGTTAAAATGCTTATTTCCAGTCAAACGTGTACACTTTGGAGACGTGCTTCTACAATTGTCGTCAACGTGAAACCATAAAGCAATGTAAATGTGCAAATCCACGATTCAAAAAAGCTGAATCGGAACAGTGGTGCTCGCCAACAAAAACTGATTGTAAGTTTCCTGAGAAAAAAGGTAAAGACTGCGCATGAAGAGAAGGGGCAAGAAGTTGTAGTGCCCAAAGGCGCAGCTTTGCAGTCCTTCAGATCGAATTCCGTCACTGCTAACACCATCTATTCGATTGCTTTAAAGTAGATATCACATTTCTAAGAAAAAATGCGGATTTTTCTTTCCAAATCGGTATTCGCGACGAAATATGTATAGCATTGGCCAAACCTAACCATCGGATGTCGTAACATAACCGAATAGAGGCTGCCTGGTTGGAGCAATTCAAAGGGTTGAATGAATACCCTTCATCTTGTGCAGTCTG